GCATCATGTCATATATTTCTACCAACTTTGTATCATTCATTCATTCAATATGGACTTTTGATCATTTATTGTATATAGAGCACAAATAGAAATCAAAACAATGTCTAGGAAGATGAGACTGGTTGCCCAGTCCCATCTTGGAAAGTGTCCAACCCTTTCAATGATTTAAAACTATCTTCCTGGATGGATAGTTAGCCTTTTTTTCAAAGCAGAGGCAGAAAAAAAAGACTCTTCACTAATTCCCTGTGTTTCAAGGTCCATAGATAATGGACCACAGACAGAGAATAGGAGAGGAAAGGTTATCTAGGGATAAGGCAAGCTTCAACTTAATGAGAAATTATTTTTCCTGGGCAAAATCTAAAAACATTTTAAAGTTTTATCCTGCCAATGTATTACACATCCTTGCCTTGGCCCTGTGTTCCCCTTGCATACCATACATACGTAAACAACCCAGTACCTTTGTCTCCATCTCCACATTCAACAAATCTGAAATGGAACTCACCATTTTCAGGCTTTGATCACCTGTGTAATTTGGGAAGCACTGTAGGACTGTAGCTATAACATGCACACATCACTATGATACTACAAAACTGGTGATGATCGATGTCTTTGCTATCTGGAAGAAGGGGCTGGCAATACACTAATATGGTGCAGCTTTAGTTGGCAAACATCTTCTCCAGGAAATGAGTATAGCCAAAGCCTTCACAAGGAGGGAGCATGGTGCAATGAAAAAGAAAAAAAACCTGCTTCTGGTATCAGAAGACCTAGGTTCAAAACCCACCACCGATAAGAAGTACCTGTGTGACATCAGGCAAGTCAATTAATCTCCCTGAGCCTCAGTTTCCTTATGTATAAAAAAGTAGCTTTGGCCATATGACCTTTAAGTTTTTTCTATCTCTGGATTCATGCCTCCCATCCTTTGACCACTCTGTACCTCTGCTTGGTATGCTTTTTCTTCTCCAGACCTACAGAAATTCCATCCATTCTTCAAGATGAAGTGTAATTTCACCAGTGGTAACAGCACCCATCCTATACACACTGCCCTAAGATTGAGATAATCTACCTATATAATTGCCTCTATCCCACATACCCTCCTCCTGTCACTAACCAACTCCTTCCATCCTCCTGAGTCTCTATCCTACACCACTGCATTGCCAACACACAAAATCTGAAGAAGTACTTAGAGAAAAAGGGATACTAGTCGAAGGGCAGTGTGAGACAATGGGACAAATAGCAGACTTGGAGTCCTAGGCCTGCCACTTACAGACTGTGTGACTTTGTATAAATCACTTAACCTCTCTGATTTTCAGGTTCCTTGTCTCTGAAACAGGGAAAATAATATTTTTATTACCTACTACCTCATGGGGTAGTAGGTAAGAAAAGCAATTAATCTTTTTTAAGTGTTATGAAAATATAAACTATTAGTATGGTCTACCGTTCTCACTTGCCAACTACCTTATGATGGCAGAAACATGGGAGGCAGAATCTAGACAATTAATAGTATGCATCCCTTGGTGTGCTCTACTAAGAGCCTAATCACCAGACCTAAGGACCCACTGATGCACAATATTGAAGAAACTGAAGTTTAATTGTGCATTCTTAGGCCTCGTGTTAGGACTTCTTCCTATTTGACATCCCTTTCCCAGGTGAAAAAAGGTTCTCATGCTAGCTTATGGCTAGCCAGACCCAAATGCCCTCTAGTGATGACTGTAAGCTGGGAAATTTTCCTGAATCTCTTTTACCTCAACAAGAATGGTGTGTTCTATTCCTACAAGCCTCTCTGGACTAATTATCTGATAAGCTAATTCATAATAAAGTATTCAGGATAATAATGGCCATATGTGTCTTCCCTTCCAAATAATATTTTTCCAAGCACCGTCAGTCATGAAATCATTGAGTCCTAGAATTGGAAGGTATTTGAGAAGTCATCCAGCACAACTCCTTGTCCATTAGATGCATTCCCTTCACAACATTCCTGACAAGTGGGGTCATCCAGACCCTACTTGAACATTTCAAAGAATAAAGAACTCCTCTCACAAGGCATCTCTAATCATTAGGCAATTCTTTCTTATATTAAGGCAAAACCTATTTTCCTAATGCCCACCTATGGTGCTAGTTTTCTCTTCCAGAGCTAGGCAGAAGTCTAATCTCCCTTCTACAATTAATTAATCAATCGACAAACATTTATTAAGGACCTGTACAGGTGCCAGGGCTGGCGATAGAAAGACCAAAATGAAACAGTGTTTGCTCTCAGGGAGCTTAAGATACCCTTTCAGATATTTGATGACAACTATTATGTCTTCTTTTGGGGGTCCAAGGTCTTAACTAAAGCAGTAACAAATATAGCAATTCTGACACTATAATGTCAGTTTGGGATGTTGGCCTCATTCCATGCTTCTCAATTCTTACCAAAGAGGTCTAGTAGTTCCTTCTGTCTTTATCAGATCACCCTGCATTTATCCTTGTTCCAGTCCCATACACACTCCTTGCAGTTTAATTGATGACCTACCTCTTTTACACTGTATACCCTCCCCTTCTAGTAATTGGTAGGGCAGCCAAATCCTCAAAACAGTCTTATGCCTTAATCAACCATGCTACTATATAAATAAGAAGCTCCAGTCTCTGCAGCAAGAGAAGGAGCTGAGGTGATAAGACTGGGTCATTCTGTCACTCTGGGACCACTCGTCTATTGCTGCTACCTACATACCTCAAAATAGTAATAAGGCCAGACGAAAGCACAGTTTTGTTGTTGTCAATAAGAAAGCATTACTTTCCCTTGCTTCCTGGACAAAGCAGCAGGATGGGATCCTGCCCTAACTTTAAGTCCAGTATATCCCTTTTTTCAATTACTATATTTTTATTTGTTTCATTAAATATTTCCCAATTACATTTTTAAAAATTTTGAGTTCCAAATTCTCTCCCTTCCTTTTTCCCAACCCTCTCTATCCCCTGAGAAGGCAAGCAATATGATATCGATTATAAATGTGGTCATGCAAAACATGTTTACACATTAGCCATTTTGCAAAAGAAACTGCACACACACACACACACCAAGAAAAATAAAGAAAGGGGGAAAATATGCTTCAATCTACATTCAGAGTTCATCAGTTCTCTTTCTGGAGGGGGATAGCTTTTTTCATCATGGTTCCTTTGGAATTGTCTTGATCATTGTTTTTAGTTGAGTAAATCTTGAACAAGCTACATGTTGACTCGAGCACATTGGATAGGAAACTTGGGTTTGAAACCTGGTTCTGATAGTTACTAACTATGTGACAGTGGGCAAATCACTTCATATATGCTGCATCTAAGTTACCTCATCTGCAAAATAAAGATAATGATATATTCTTTAGGGAATAAGGGAATAAGCATTTCCAAGTACATACTATCTTCCAGACACTGTATTAAGCACTTTACAAATATTATTTTCTTATCCTCACAACAACTCAGGGAGGTAGGTGTTATAATCCCCATTTTACAGTTGAGGAAACTGAGGCAGCCAGCGTCACACAACTAGTGTTAGAGGTTGGGTTTGAACTTAGGTCTTCCTAACTTCAGGTCCTCTATGAACTATGGCACCAACTAGCTGCTTCCCTACCTCAGGATCATAAACTTTGAGCGAGAAGGCCATCTATCTCATGGAACTCAGTCATTTGATAGATGAAGAGTACTGAGCCCCAGAGAGGAGAGATGCCTCCCCTGAGGTCACTCAGGTAGTAAGGAGCAGCACTGGGATTTGAACTCATTTCAAAGCCAGCACTCTTTCCACTGCACTATGGTACCTCAGGGCCTGGTTGTGAGTCCATCAGTCAGAAAGCATTTATTAAGCACCTACAATGCGCCAGGCACTATGCTAAGCACTGGAAACACAAAAAGAGGCAAAAGACATGGTCCCTTCCCTCAAAGATCCCAAATTCTAATCAAGGCTAGCATTTTGTACATTTTAAACTTCCATAGAAATATGAGTTCATAGGTTTATCAATTTAAAGCCAAAAGGCTATCGTGGCCAAAGATTCTTAAGGAGGGGGCCCATGAACTTTTATGCATATATACATTTATATATTTTATATATTTATATATATGTTGATAGATAATATTTCAACATTAATTGGTCCCTTTGTAAGCCTACAATCCTCTCATTTTGTAGGAAAAGAGTCGAAGCCCAGAGAAGTTAAGGAAATTGTCCAAGATTAGGTAGGAAGTGAGCAGCAGAGGCAAAATTTGAACCAAGGTCCTATGATCCCCCAAATCCAGGACACTCTCTCCACTATGCTGGTGACCAGTTGTTGTGATGATTTATTTTGGCTAGAAATGGGGGAGGGGAGAGAAAAGAGATATATTTCTGAGACTTTTAGATGAGGAGGAACCAGTCACTCAATCCATAAAAATAGTAAGTGCCTACGATGTGCCAGGCACTGTGCTAAGCACTAGCTCAGTCCTGATTGCCATAGGTTCTGATGCTCTATCAAAATCCTGTTGAGTAAGGAAGTATTTAAAAGGAGAAGAGGAACAGGGAAAGAAAAACAAGTCATGGCAGCTATGGAAATAGTTACTAACCACTCACCTAGAAGAGTGTGCCAGATGAGTAGGAACAAATGTTGGTTTTACTTGTTTTCTGACCTGGAGATCTACTGGGGCTGTGAAAGGGGAAGCGGGCTAAGAAAGGAAAGAGGGAAATGGAGAAAAGGGAGGGGGTGAACCACCCCTTCCTTTGGACTAGTGAGATTTCCTGGCTCATTTGCAAGGTGTGCAAGGTGCCCTCCTTCCCTCTGGCTCCTTTAGCCAGGTGAAGGAAGTGTGAAGAAGAGTCACTGGCCTCCAGTTTGCTCTTGTTTACCCATTTGGAGATGGAGAGATTGAGAGGTTTCCTTGCTACTCGTTTTTCACTTTCTCTACCTCATCCCTCTTCCCTCTCTGCCCTCTCCTACCCCTTTACACTTATTTTCCCCCTTGCATGTTTTTTTTGGCTTCAGGGAACTTTCAATCCTGACTTCAAACGAAACCTATAATGAAGTCTGGATGATGGTTAACAGACCCTGACACTGCAGGGCCCCAGCTGAGCCGTTCCCTTGGCCCAGCCACCAGCAAGGATGGGTGAGTGGAGAGGCGAGCTAGTCCTGAGAAACCAGGTACTGGCGGGGCCTCATGGGCAGCAAACGTCTCCACTTGCTCTCTTTTCCATCACACACACACACAGATACACACACCCTCGTCACTTTCCTAGGGGAATATCTCACTTTGAACACACAGCTGCAGTGATTCTAACTGTCTCTTACCTGTCTGCTTCTAAGCAGAAAATCTGGGCTCCTGCAGAGGACAGCAAGCTCTCTCTCTCAAATCACTGCCTCTAATACACCCAGCCCACCCCAAATCGGAATATTGGCGAGAGGAGGCAGACCACGGAAGGGATGCAGAGAGGGACTCAGAGAGACAGACAATGAGTCACTCTGACACACACAGAGACAGAGGCCCCAACACATAACTCTAGAAAACAAATGCACCCAACACCCATTGTCTGCCTCACAGCTTGGACTGAGACGGAGTGATTGATGGCCCAGTTAAGCCTCGCTTAGTCACTTGTTTTTATTTTATGACGTTTCCCCCTATTATAATAAAGAGGACCGAGACACAGAAGCCAACAAAGAAAGGCAAACATCGAATTGCAGAGCTGGTCCCTGCTGAGATTAGGGACAGGAAGGCAAAAGAAGCAGGGGCAGCAGCAGAGAGACCCTTGTCTCTCTGTCCTTGTTTTAAGAGAAAGAACAGAACCGTCTGGGAGGAATCTGAAACCCAGAAAAGTTCTAAGGGGAAAGATCATTTTCTTTAGGGAGCCAAAGATGTTCCTTGCTCAGCTCCCAGAACTGACTTGATCGGGATCTTGAATCCCACGATTCCATTTCCCTTAAGTGTCCTACTCTCTTGTCCCTGGCCCATGGTAGAACCTCCCTGGGTGGAGTTACTTAGAACCTACCACCACCACCACCCCCACTCAGTAACTAGCCACTTTGGCAGCTTGATGTAATTCTTCACAATTGGCCAGGTAGTCTGTCCATAATTCACATCTCCTGCGTGGCCTAAAGCCTGATAAATATTAGCCCCCTGACAGCATGCCCATCTGGATTACAGATGTTTGATGTTGTATTCTTTAGCTTATCTCATCCTCTTAGTTGCTTCCGGGACAAGAATTTTTGTGAAATTAATTTCTCTTTTGGCTCTTTAGGACCTTTGAGGAGGACTTTGGAGTGGGAGGGTAGAGGATGAGGAAGACTATTAAGTGTTATCTCTCATCAGTACTATAAACATGTGTATATATATACATATATTTGGAAGGTGGGGATGGTAAATGTTAGTTTTCCTTAACCGTGCATATTTGTTGCAAGGGTACATGTGATGGGATGGAGAGAAACTACATTTCTGTTCATTGAAATAAAGTAAATTAGAAATAAATAAATAGATCCTTATAACAGTATTATCTCTTAAAAACTGATGTACAGGACATGTAAATGTTATCATCAAATGTACCCACGTATCAATCAATTAAGTATTAAGTGCCTACTATACACTAGGCACTGTTCTAGGTGCTAGGGACACAAGTAGAGAAAAAGCAAACTCCCTCCTTATAAAAATTGACATTCTAGAGAGGTATTCAACTTATAAAAGTTTGTAAGCATCATCAATATAAAGGGAGTAAATATAAATATGTACAAAGTAATTGAAGACAAGGTAGTTTAGGAGGGAGTACACTTCACAACTAGATTCAAAGGAAATCTAATCCAATCCCTACCAAAATAAGAATCTTTTTTGCTTAAGTATGTCTACTCGGGGAGCCCTCAGCATTTCCTGGGGCAACCTATTCCACTTTCATATTATTCTTAATTATTAGGAAGACTTTCCTTACATCTGTGCTTGCAACATCCACCACTTGCTCCTAGTTTTATCCTCCAGGGCCAAACAGAACCAACCTAATTCCAATTCCCCTTGCCAGCCTTCAGGTTATTGAAGAGAACTATCAGGACCCCCTAAATCTTCCCTCCTCTGGTCTAAATCCCTTATTCCTTCTACTGATCCTTACTGTTTTGAAGCCCTTCAGACTCTGGTTGTCCTCCTCTGGTCTCCAGTTTGCCATTTTTATTTCTAAAATGAGACACAAAAAGTGCATGCAGTGCTCCAGATGCAGGTTGATCAGGTCAGAGTACAGTGCTACTGGACACTCTCTCTCTCAGTGCAGTCCATTTTCACGTCAGATTTTTTGACTCTCATAACAAACTGGTGACTCATAGTGACCTTAAAATCCACTAAAGCCCCAAAGTCATTTTCAGATCAACTACTCACTAGTCACACCTCTCTTTTATCTCTCACTTGTGATGTTGACTTTTTGAACCCAAGTATTTTTTGTTCATTGAGGTAAGTTAAATTAAATTAGAAATAAATAAGCCCTTAAATGAGATTAGCTCTTTAAAATCAATAGACAGGACATGTATATTTGCCAATGTGTCATCAAATGTATCTATGTATCAATAAGTATTAATTTAACCCTTTTAAATTTCATCTTCTTAGATTCAGCCAATTCATCCTTCACAGATGTAAAGTATAATAGCTAGGAGTTACATAGCACTTTAAACTTTGCAAAGTGTTTTGCAAATATTATCTCATCTTATCCTAATGATAACCCCAGCAAATAGGTGTATTATTATCCTCATTTTACAGATATAGAAACAAAGGCACACAGAGATCAAGTGACTCACCCAAGATCACACAACAAGTAAATGTCTGAAACTGAGTTAGAACTCAGGTCTTCCTGACTCTAAGTCTAGCACTCTGTCAGATTCAACACTTGCCTGCTTATTTGTGAATCCCAATTGTCATTATTGTCGACTATTCCTCATTGTTCTCTCATTTGAGAAGTGTGCCACCTATGGCTTTATCTAACTCATTGACAAAAATGTTCAACAGCATAGGGTCAAGCATGCAATGCTAAGGTGCTCCAAACTGAGATCAAAACATTAATTACTACTCTATAGATCCAACCCAACCCATTCAAAAGCCAGATGACTACTATTATCTAGTCAATGTCATCTTTCCTACAAGAATAGGATGAGCACTCATTGGGTACTTTTCTGAACTGCAGACAAACTACATCTACAACATGGTTTAATGACCCTCCAAAAAAGGAAATTAGGTTGTCGAAGTTTGACTTGGTACTTTCGTTTGTTGTTTTGTTTTGTTTTGTTTTTCTTGCTGAAGATGGGCTAGTACTTTGTGACCATCTTTTCCTTTTGTAAGTGTTCAGGAGATCACAGCTTTAGGGCTGGGGAGACCTTAGATGTTATTTTGTCCAACCAAGTCATTTAACAAATTAGGCAGATAAATGAAGTGACTTCCCAAAAGGAATACAAATAGTAAGTGGCAAAACCAGGTTTTAAAATCTAGTCCTAGGACTATAAATCCAGCACCTTATACACTGTACCAAACTGCCCTCATCATCTCTTTAATAACACATTGGAGAATCTTGCCAAGATTCAAGGTATAGCTCGCTGACCTGTAGTTTGCAAATTCCATTTTCTTCTCATTTCTGAAAGATGGGACTATTTATGCCATTTTCCAATCCTGTGATACCTCTCCCATTCCCCATGATTTTTCAGACAGGCATAGTTCAGTAAATTCCTTCGGTACCTCAAGATGTATTTTATGTGGTACTGGTAATCTGAACTCATCAAGGACAACTATCTCTAATTACAACCCTACCTTTCTTAAGTTGTCAACTGCCTATTAATGTGTTATCTTATTATTCCAATCCAATGACCATTCTCCTTTGCAGAGAAACGTCAATACGTTAAGGGGCTTTGATTTTGCAGCTGTGTGGGAACTCCTTCCACCAATATAGACTGCAACTCATCACTAAGGGCAGTTCCATGCCAATGGGCTTTTAGATTCAGATTATATAAAGCTTAGTAAATAAGTCTTAGAATGTTGCCTAAGGAGAGTTTGCTTATACTCATGAAGCTAGCCTAGCATCAGAGATGGAATCTGAAGGCAGGGTTTCCTTAATCTATATTTGGTACTCTCTATACCTCTTGCTGCCACTCATTCTTGGCAGAGAAAACAAAAGCAAAATTATGCAGTGCTTCATTCTTTCTGTTGGTGGTTACCATTATCCTACCCCTCCCCACAAATGATAGTTCCATTCCTTAGATCTTACTCTTTGGGAAAAGCCAGTATAACCAAAACCCCTTTTTATCAACATGGCTAAACTCTGGCACTCTTAGAACTATTCTTACAAAACTATGTCAACCTTTTACATTCACCCTCTATTAATCGTCCCTGCTTCCAACTTTCATCCACATCTTTTAAAAATCCTAGTTGGTCAATTTGAAGTTTGTCTTGTAACTGGAATTCTAGGTAAATGGAAAGCTCTTAACCAGGAGGATAAGTTAGTGGTTGAATAACACAATACGTTCACTCACCCCACAAGTTATGCATCACTTGGTGCCCCAAACTGCTAGATCCCTATGAGTTGAAAGTATGGACAGTCCATCTAGTGTCAGAATTCTTAACCTTTTTTGCTTGTTTCATGGATTCCTTTGGCAGACTGGTGAAGCCTATGGACCCCTTCTCAGGATAATGTTTTTAAGAGCACAAAATAAAATGCATAGGATTACAAAGGAAACCAATTATATTGAAATAGTTATCCAAATGTTTTACCAAAATAAAATTCACAGACTCCATTAAATCTATCCACAGATCCCCTTTAAAATGCATAAACTCCAGGTTAAGAACCCCTAATTTGTGTCATAACCTAGTACCTTAGCCTGTCCTTTATTTCTGTTTTGAGCCCGCGTGGAGATTTGGGTTCAGTAGACTAAATTCCCATAAAAGTTAAGCATGAATTTTAATTATAAGTTGCTCCAAGAACTAAGCAAAGTGATCCATAACTTTGTAATACAGATCTACACAGAGAAGGAGGATGGGGAAAAGTGAATAGTCAAACAAGCCTCTGAGCCAGAAATAAAACTATGAAAGATGGACAAAAGGTCACCTGCCCTGTGCCATTATATTTCTCTCTCTTCAGCCTCACCGTAGGTTGAAGGTCCTCAAAGAAAGGATGATGCATGGAAGGAGATTTTTTTCTACTAAATTAGAAAGATAGGATGAATCACCCTCTGAGCTCATAGCAACTACTAACTAAAATAATCTGCTCCTCTATCTTCCTTTGCTGGGAGGGGGAGATGGGGGGAAAGCAGTAAGTAGAGGTAACAGGGGTCCTCTAAGAATGAAAGTGTGACATCTTCAGTGCCAGAGAAGAAAGAGACTGCCTTTCTTTGACAAGGGGGCTAAATAGATAAGTGAGCTTTTGCCTTATCTTCCCCAGAACCAAGCCTTCAGTGCCTCCCTGATCATTTCCACATCATGCTGCCTTGTTATTGTTCAGTTATGTCTGACTCTTTATGACCCCATTTGGGGTTTTCTTGAGAAAGATACTGGAGTGGTTTGCCATTTCCTTCTCCAGCTCATTTTACAGATGAGGAAACTGAGGCAAACAGGGTTAAGTGACTTGCCTGGATCACACAGCTAATAAGTGTCTGAGGCATCATCTACCAATCTATCATCTATTTATTATTTATCTATAATTTGTCATCTATCATCTATGATCTATCTGCCACTTATTTATCTATCATTTATCAATCTATCATCTATTTGTCTATGTACATTACTAAGGTATATAATGTCCAAGTGAGGGAAGTGGCAACTGGAGACCAAGGAAATATTGTAGAGGCAGAACCTGGGAAACAAAGTCGTGAATACAGGGGTCTAAAACTAACCTCTGACACTTACTTGCTTTGTTACCCCAGGCAAGGCACTTAAACATTCTCATCTTCAAGTGCCATTGTAAAACAGGGCTAATAGTAACAACTATGGTACTTGCTTCAGAGTTTTGTTAGGAGTTTCAAATGGGGTCACCTACAGAAAGGCCTTGACAAATCTTAAGGCACTCTATGAATCTCAGTAGTTATGATGATGCTCACAGAATTTAGAGCTGGAAGGGACGGTGATGAAACGGCACCTGAATGATCTCGAGAAACCTCTCAGCAGAAGTGGTCTCTTGAATGGGCAATTGCCTTAGTGTGTGTAGGAGGGGAGTGGGAATAGAAAGGGGTTGAAAAGAAGATGGAGAAATGGTGACTGGATTGGGAATCTCTATCTCTCTCCTGGGGATTCTACAGTGGGTCCAGAATGAGGCTCACGCACAGTAACAATTGGGAATCTTTGCTGTGATAATAAATATAGTCACATTTTAAGCAATATTTATTCAAGAAAGCCTCTCTTTGGATTTGGCTTTCATATTTTGATACTCTCAAGCATCTTATAATGTTAATCCATGATGCTATTAAGGCTTATTGATTCTAGAAGTGGCCTCCTGTTACAGGCATCCATACGACCTCATTCCCTTCCACCTACCCCCTAGGATCACATAGTAATAATAGCTAGCATTTATATAGATCTTTCAGGTTTACAAAGTGCTTTACAAATATTATCTCATTTTATCATCATAACAACCCTGGGAGATAATTGCTATTATTATCCCCATTTTCAAGACAAGGGAACTGAGATAGACAAAGTGACTTATCCATGTCACATAGCTAGCAAGTGTCTGAGGCCAGATTTGAACTAGGTCTTCTTAAGCACTCCATCTACTGCACTACCAAGCTACTCTATGAGAGCTAAAAGAGACTTCAGAGATCATCCCTCACTTTCACAGATGAGGAAACTGACTCCTAGAGATGGAAAATGACTTGTCCAAAGTCACATGAGCATTAATTAACCTAAAAGGACACTGAGTCAAAACCCCTCATTTCCTCCAACAAAATCAACATTCTTCAGGAAAATGATAAATGTTGGAGATGTGGGTAAATTGGAACACTAATGCTGGTGGAGTTATGAACTGATCCAGCCATTCTGGAGAGCAATTTGGAACTATGCCCAAAGGGCAATCAAACTGTGCATACCCTTTGATCCAGCAATACCATTTCTAGGTCTGTATCCCAAAGAGATCATGAAAATGGGGAAAAAACCCACATGTACAAAATATTTATAGCAGCTCTTTTTGTGGTAGCAAAAAATTGAAAATTGAGGGGATGCCCATCAATTGGAGAATGGCTGAACAAGTTGTGGTATATAATGGAAAACTATTGTTCCACAAGAAATGAGGAGCAGGCAGACTTCAGAAAAAGCTGGAAATATTTATATGAACTGATGTTGAGTGAAGTGAGCAGAACCAGGAGAACATTATACACAGTAACAGCAACATTGTGTGATGACTAACTTTGACAGACTTAGCTCTTCTCAGCAATAAAATGATCTAAAACAATTCTAAGACTAAAGATAGAAAATGCTATCCACATTCAGAGAAAGAACTCTGGAGTCTGAATGCAGATTGAAGCATACTATTTTCTCTCTTTTTGTTTGTTTTTCTTTCTTTCTTTTGGTTTTTCCCTTTGGATCTGATTCTTTTTTACATAACTAATGTGGTAATATGTTTAATATGATTGTACATGTATAGCCTATATCAGATTACATGCCATCTTCAGGAGGGGGGAGGGGGGAGAGGGGGAAAATTTAGAACTCAAAATCTTATAGCTGAAAACCAAAAACAAATAAATATTTTTTTTAAAAAATCAACATTCTTTCCACCGTTACATGACTGGGGTACCAATACCCATAATTATCTAATTACCAAGAAATCTTTAGAAATTGTTCTAACATATAATTTGTATTACTTGATTAATTTCAATGTACACCTCTATTAAATAGCAAACAATTCACATTATGGGGCAGGAGCTTTGGAGTTTGTTTCTGTTTTTTGGTTTGTTTCTTTTTTTGTTTTGTTTTGTTAGTGTGCACATTCTTTAGGGTCCTAGGACTCTGAAAAAGAAAATGTCATGAATTCAATCTTGAGGCAGAAAGTACCCAAACCCCTCTTTCTTACCTCTTGGGTGAGTCAGGGTCAAAGCAGGTCTTCTGTACATCAGTCACATCAGGGTCACAGCAGTCGCCATCATCAAAGTCATCCAACATGTTGTTGCACTCCATATGGCACACACCATCCCTTCGATTCCATGAATAGCAGCGTCCCTGAAGGCGGCAGTCACCCCCATCATAGCCAGTAAGTGGGTGCTCACACTCAGTGTCGCAGTGGTCATTGCCAATCTTGCTGGGCTCACAGTTCACCAGGACAGCCCGATAGCGCAAGGTGGAGTTACGCACTTCATGGACACTCAGTTGCCAGCTGATGTTGTACTGACTAAAGGCTGCACTCAATGCCTGATGCTGACGGGTGATTTGCTCGCTGCTGACAGTAGGGTGCAATCCATCATCATCACATACATTCACCACTTGATAACGGATCACCTTCTCGCTCCTCAGTGGCCAGTGCCAGTTGTACTGGGAGATCAACTCCACATTGTCACAGGCAGTTCGCCCACAAGGTGGAGGCATGAGAGGGTACAAAATCTCAGGCTCAGGCTCTGGATCCTGGAGCATCTCAAGACTTGGAAATTCCCCATCTTTAAAGGTTACCCATTGGTGTTCCATTGGAGCGAAATTAGCACTGAGTGCCAAGGAAGCTAAGTCCCCATACCCACTTGGTTGCAAGAAACTCTGCTGGAGCTGGCTTTGTTGAAGTGCTGTATTCCAGAGAGTCAGACTGCCCATGTGCCCACGAAATTGGTGCCTATCCTCTGAGCTGTCCCCACCCAGGATTAAAGAACGGCAAGATGCCATAAATGGGCTGTGCAAGGGGCCAGACTGACCCAGGCTACTAGCAACTTGAGCTCCATCCACATACAGAGCTATGCGGTGTCCATCATAAGTGGCCACTAAATGTGTCCATGTACCTGACAAGTAGCGGCTATGCCCAGTCACAATTGTAGCCTTCTTCACACGGTCTGTGCGGAGAGAAAAGAAGAAACGAGCATCCTTCCTCCCATGATGCTCCAGTGAGTGGATACCCAAGGCCCAACCCTTGTCACTGACAGCATGGGAGCAGTTGTCAAACACACCTAGGCAAGAAGAAAGGAAGAAAAAGGGGAAAGACAAGGGACAAAGAAAGAAAAGCAGAAAGGGAGAGAAAGCCCATGTAAATACAGTACAGGCAGGTTTTTCATGGTTCAAAAATTAAATAATACCAAATATCCTTCCCTTGATACCAGCCCACTGGACATGGACATTCCTCTACTTTGCCTACCTATTCTGACCACCACTATCCCTTTCCCAAGCACCTTAAAAGGAACCTGATTTGAGATTCAATAGTGAAAAGAGCACTGACTCTAAGTCAAACAACCTAGGTTCAAATCCCATCTCTAACACTGTGTTGGATAAGTCATTTGGCTTCTCTAGGCCTTATTTGCTTCATCTAAAAAATGAAGAGGTTAGACTTGATGCCTAAAGTCATTTCTAGTTCTAAATCTATAATTCTTGATCTTAATCTGTCAGAAAAAATTAGTCAATAGGAAACCTTAAATGGGGAGTGAGCAGTTGGTGGTCCTACACAGTATCAATCAGGGAGAAAAGGGAAGCTATCATACTTAGAATGGAAAAGACCAGTACTTTATCAATGGTGACCCACACTAATTGGTCTATGAAATGCATGTCACCTCTCTATCATTCATTATATTGTCCTCTTCTTCTAAAGCTGCCCAAACTTACCCTCATTAGGTACCTCTTTTCCTAATATAAAAAGGTAGCCATGCAGAAAAGTAAGCTAACCAATGAAAAACTATACTATCCCCAGAATCACATTCCACCTAGAACTTTCACTACTCCCCCAGGGTAGATTATTCCTACCACCAAGGTACCCATCCAATGATAGCAACAATGCAGCTGTAGATCCCAGGTCAGAAGAAAATCATCATCATCATCATTATCATCATTCCCATTAATATTATTTGAACCTTACAGAAATCCTGTGGGAATAGATATTGCTATAATTCCTGTTTTGAAGAAAACTGAGGCTCAGAGAAGATTAATGACTTACCCAGGACCTTGTAGATATAAGTGTCTGAGGTAGGATTCAACCCTCAGTTCTCCAGAACTCAACCCATTAGCTATATGACATGTGGAAAAGATAGGAATAAGGACAGGGATAGTTATAGCAATTAGACCTCTGACTTCATTGGTATTGGGAATTTCCAAGTGAGGAAATTTCTTCTACCAATGCACATGAACACCTTCTCTGCAGCTTATAGTCTTAGAGAGTTGTCTAATGCACCAAAGGTTGAAAGACTTGATCGGGACACCTCGCCATTTGGTGTTAAAGGCATGGCTTAGGCCTTGGCTCTTTTTGACTCTGAGGCCAGCTCTCTCTCCACTATGCTCATGAATGCCCATAGATAAGAAGGGCTAGACCAAATGGCTGGTCTTATACTTATTTTGTATTGCTGCTATTGGCTAGGAATTAGCTGGCTTAAAATTTATGGAACTAGTTTTGAAGACTTACTTAAGGGAAGGTTACTTTTCTCAGACTTTCTGGGGAGTGGGGGTGAAACATTCAAACAGGGTAAATGGAAAGACAAAAGCAACTCAGAACAACTCAAAACACCCAGGTACTCAGCTAGCTTTTAGCCCTCACTATCCCATATCTAGGTAATTGTCTCTTCTCTTCCCTGATATCAGCCTTTCCTCTCACCCTACATTCCACTGAGAGTTTAGTTGTTCTCAAATATCATCTTCATTATGCCATTCCCCTATTGAAAAAGTCATCAATAGCTTCCCTGACTAAGATCAATGAACCAACGGAATACTGTAATAGGATCCAAGTTCTTCCCCTGAAGCACACAGCTTGGCCTACTATAGAGAAAGCAGCCTCCTGTATTCATGCAATGATGCTGAAGATCTCCAGGCGGTGCCAGGAAGGAGAGAGAACAACTAGTCCTAGCCACAGGAGGAAGAACTGAGTCCCAGTGGTCCACAGCTCCTGGCTGAGGGTTATTAAGGTGTCCATAAGTCAACCTGACATGAAAAATCAGAAAGTATGCCTTCTTCCAGCAGCATGCATGGGCAACATTATGAAGAGCCTACTGAATCGTCTCAGACCTGACAACCATTACCCAATTCTGGTGATTTATGTAGAGACTAGCCACATGAATCAGCTGGAAAGTGAATAGCAGGTTAAGATGAAATCTGTACAAGAAAAAATGAACACTGTGCAATTATAATGGCCATGCTTGGCCTCAAAGAAGAGATGAAAAAATGTACCTTCTCTGAAGAGGTGGGAAACTAGGCATGTGGAACACTGTATATGTATACTGTCAGACCTGACTGGTGTGCTGGTTAGTTTTACTGGACTGCTTTTTGTTTCAATCTTTCTCTCTTATTCTTTATTACAAAGGATGACTTGCTATGTAGAGGATATGAGAGGAACATATCTGGGAATGAAGGTGATATCAAAACAGAAGACATAAATAAAAAAATTTAAACCAAAACTAAATAAAAATTAAAAGATGGTATCTAAGAATATGATTGGAATTTATGCTTAAAATACAAAAATGACAAGCTCTTGACTCAAGATAGAGTACTCTCAACAAGGGCTGGTAAAAATATATTTGCCTGGAGTCTGACAAATCTAACTCCAAATGCCTTTCAACAGCAAAGAAAGAGGAAGGAGGAAATTCCCTAAATATATTGAGCAAGGAAGGTGCCATAGCAAGTAGATACACTATAGGGAGAAAAGTATCCATAAGGATACCTAGCAATTAATAGAAGATGAAAATTTAAGAATGGAACCAACCATAAGATTGACTAATAAGCATCTTCTTCTAGGAGATTTTTTTTTAAGTGTAGCTAGATGAAGCAGTGGATAGAGAAGTCAGGAAAACCTGAATTCAAATCCAGCCTCCTACACTTACTTGCTCTGTGGACAAGTCATTTATCCTCTATTTCCCGCAGTCTTTTCATCTCTAAAGTGGAGATAATAATAGCACCTACCTCCCAGGTTTGTTGTGAGGATCAAATAAGATAATAATTATCAAGCATTTAGCATAGTGCTTGATGCAAAGTAAGTGCTATATAAATGTTAGCTATTAATTAGCATTTGTATAACACAAAAATTTTGCAAAGCATTTTACCTACATCTAATTGGAACCTCATAAAAACCCTGTGACCCTTTGAGGCTTCTAATATTCCCATTTACTGATAAGGTAGCTGAGGTTCAGAAAGGCCGAATCACTTCCTCAGAGGCTAGACCCTAGAGGGTAGGCTCTTCCTGACTTCAAGCCCAGCACTGTATTTACAACTATGTTCTACTTCTCCATTAAAATCCAGAGCTTCAGGTGTCTATGCAAAAATACACAAAGTAGTAGAGTAAGGAGAGAAAAGTTTCATCAAAAACATTTGTGAGATACAATGGCATAGAACAGGATAGGCAGGTGGGTGGTTCTGTGGACAGAGTGGATAGAGTGTTAGATGACAAATTAGAAGCACTTGAGTTCAAATCCAAAACACACTTATTAGCTATTTGTTCTGAATAAGTTGCTTAACCTCTGCCTCCCTCAGTTTCCTTATTTGTAGAATGGCGGCAATAAATGGTACCTACTGCCCTCAGCTGTGAAGAGGATCAAATGAGATGTTTGTAAAGTACTATAAATGCTAGGTATTATTATTACTAGGAATATGGCTCTTAAAAGGTCTATCTTATTCAAAAGGAAGAGAGTCGTTAAAAGGAAGGTAGTGGGAACAAAGAATGAGAAGACACACTCAAGGGACAGAATCCAGAAACCAAATGGAGGACCCAAGGTGGACAGCACTTTGATGAAGATAAAAGTAGGCAAAGACAGAAAGAATACTGTCATTGGTATATACTGCAGATGAACTGAAGAGAAAGAAGAAATAGAAAAGGAGTTTGGGGACTAGGGCTCAAGACTAGTATGAATGCATTACATCATAGCAACGGACGCATTTCAAGTATCTGGATATCCGCTATAGTTCTCACTGTGGTAACTAAATGATCATTTATTTCCTCATTCAAAAGACAAAAGAGGCTAAAAGTTAGGAAACTTCAATTCTGGATCTGAGTCTCATTAACAAAGTTAAATTGGCGCTGGGACAGAAATGATGGGAATTTGTGACAAAGGAGAGGAAAACTAGGAATGGAGACATACACCCTAAATTTTTATTTAAGAGTTGCTTTAATGGATGGTTTCAGAGAAAACCCAAAAGATCTTTATGAACTCACTGACGCTGGGAGAAGTGAATTAAACCAGGAGAAAAATTAATTAATAACAACTTTATAGAGGAAAAACACCCTTGAAAGACTTGATAACTCCAATCAATGCAATGACAAACCACAATTCCACAGGACCAGAGACAAAGAATGCTAGTCACCTCTTGACAGTATCTATGGATGCAAGATTAGAAATAAGACATTTTTTTGGACAAAGACAATGAGGACATTTCTTTGCTTGAGAACAGGTAGAAATATCTATAGAAGAGATAGATGTGTACGTACACACACACACACACATGCATGCACACACAAGTGTGTACACATGCACATGCAAGTATGTACACATGTATTGCCCTTAGGGGAAATAGGGTTAAGTTTCTATAAGCCTCTGATCACAACATTTACTTTAGCACTTTCTAGAGTGGCCTCACATATAAATAAGCAAATTCCCTCTTTCTTTTTCCAATTGTGCCATATTGTTGATTTATTAACATTGAATTCACAGACACCAACACTATAACTCATACCTAGATGGAGATTACCCAACACATATTTTCTCTGTAAAGCACGTCATAGCCTTCTTGCATTTAGGAACACTAGACAGCACCTTCAACACTACACTTGAAGACTATTTTACAATGTGAAATCATCAACAAAAAGTACAAAAATGAGAAAAAGTGACTCTAAATAGACTGCAAAAAGGATACCTGTTTATAGTATGAGAGTTGAAACAAGAAGACTGAGCATATCTTTGTTTGACCTCAGTTGGAAACATGAACATGAGTTGATTCAAAGTTTTCACCACTTCATGGATGTTTGTGAAAACATTGATTTTGGGGT